TCCAGTTTTAGGGTTTTACACAGAATTAAACCAAACAACATGAATCAAACATGCACTTTATTTATTTCCACTAAATAACAAAAGTACATCAAAATGATTGAAGCTAAGGGCATACAAAACTGTCTAACAGATGGCTTCTTTGCATGACCTATAGTGTACCCAACCACCAAGGATGTAGCCCATGCATGGGAAGATATCCATTGAACCTCTGCCTTAAATTGAATTTATTGATTTTTTTTATCAATTATGTAATTAAACAAAGAGAAGATAAAAAGCCTTTATCCCTACAGTAGAATAGGAAAAGGGAAATCCAACAACACTGTAAAGAGCAAATAAAAGGAAAAGTACAGAATGGACAAATTATGCCCAATATAAATGACTCCTGTTCCCCTCCACGAGTTTGTCAGCATAGAATTAGCTTAATCTTGGGGGCCTTCTAAATGAGAGGTTCAATTATGATTCCAGGGATCTAGCTTTATAATAAACCAACATAGGCCTAACTTGGAAAGCCTGAATTCCATCCAAAGTGGCCCTCATAACGTGGGTTAGGGGTGATCATTCTTGGCCTGGCCCAACTCTCAAATTTTTGGGCTTGGGCCCAGGTTTTTGTGTGCAAGCCGGGCCTGGGTCTGAACTGCAATATAATATAATATATTATAACATTATATTATATATTATATATGTACAAGTATATTTGTACTCAGGTCCTGTGGGTGTGGGAGACTCTTTAAGGGCCGAATTACTTGCTGCTGTACAAGGAATCAAGCTTGCAAATCAGCTAGGCATAAAGCATCTGATTATTGAAGGGGATTCCCAGGTGATAGTGGGTTGGCTGAAGGATCCGGACACTGTGATATGGGGTTTTAGAGATCTTCTCAAAAAGGTTAAATGGCTAACAAGGAATATGACAATCAGAGTTCAGTGGGTAGGCAGATCAGCAAACTCACTGGCTGATTCGCTTGCAAAATAGGGGGTTCTTCGAGCTACTTTATTTTGGGCTTCTGTGTAGTTTCCTTTGTGCTTATAATTCTGTAACTAGTTTTAAAGGAAAGGTTGCGTCTCGTGCCTTTCCATGGGTTGCATTTTACTCTTATTTGCTGGTTTAATAAAATCTTATTCATTTATCAATATATATATACACAAGTATATTTTATTTTATACTAAATGTTTATTATTTTATATAAGATATACAAATTAGTTTTAACACATAAATAAATATTAATTAGTTGACACATGTCAATTCATGTGTGAACAGTTGAGCCAACTCAAGTATGTAAATTGTTCGCATAGGCAAGGCCTTCATTCTCATTGTCTAAGCAATGTGGGACTTGGAAAAACACTCAGTGGTAGCACTCATTATTTAGTGTTGTTCCAAGTCCCACATTGCTCAAGAATGGGAATGGAGGTCTTGCCTTCGTTTATAAAAGGATAGGTAAGCCAAGCCAAGCCAAACCAACTTTAAGAATTAAATGAGGCCCGTGCCTTTTTTTTGTGCATAGGACCAAAACTTAGCCAAGCCCAATTTACCTTGGGCTTGTGCCATATTTTTTTTTGCACGTCTTTTATTTAATTTAAACTTAAAAATTTAAATAATTAAATTTTTATTATTGGATGTCATAGGCCTAAACTCATTACTCATTAGGCCTGGAAAGATCGTAAGCATGGCCCGGGCCTGTGTAGGGCCGGGCTTGGGCTTGCAAACTAGGCCTAGGCCTAGGTTAAAGCACTTATCATTAGTGCTAAACCCAGCCTGGGCCCGGCCTGGCCCATGATCACCCCTTACATGGGTACCAATTATGGGAAATGCCTAACCAAAGAACAGCTACTGTTAAGGGGGATGGAGCTACCTTCAAATCATTCCTCAGGACCATCCAAACAACCTAAGTAAGTTTATCCTTTCTCTCTTTCAATTCCCTTAGTTTCAAAATTTTTAGTCTTTTCTTCTCTTCATCCTTTTGTGTACACAGAACCTCTTAAATCAAATCACCCCATGTACATTCTTATTCTAAGTCAACAAGCAAAAGATCATTTGTAGATTTATTTTCTTGGTTGTTGCACATTTCACTGGTCTAATGAGAAACCAAAAGATAGTTGAATTTGACATAGAAACCTTTGTAGGTCATTTCAGACATTTTAGTTACTCCAATAAACTCTCTTAAAGCTGCAATTCATCTCCTTGGCTCATTCCTTCGAGTCTTTAGTCCACTATAGGACCACCTGTCCTATGTCACTTGATGAATACCTACTATATTTAATGTGTTGTGAAGTTTAGATCATCTAGGTATCGAGCTTAGTTGCTTTGTTCAAACCATGTTTCAAGAGTTCATATTGAAATTATTGTTCTTTCTCATTTCTTGTAAACTTTTACACTTCTATTTTTCTGAAATTATGTATTAATGTCTTGTGTTTATCTATTGGAACTGTGCTTCTCAATTCTAGCTCTACAACACAATGCCCCAACTGTGTTCATAAATCTGTGAGGCATTTTTGCTGGTGGAACAGAGTAAGTTTACAAATTATGTTTCTTGTTGACTCGTTTCTGTTTTGTGTTGCCATGACATAGGTTCTTAATTGACATATTTTCATGCCTCTAATTGTTTTCATTATCCATATCATTTTAGTTTATAGCTAAACCAATACAATGTCCAAAGAATGTCGGCGATGGAAGACGGGCTATGGTTCTGCTCAAAAATAAACTTTTGAAAACTATAGTGCTTAGACGCACTAAGAAAGGCAGGTCTGCAGATCTTGCCCTTCCTCCTAGAATTGTAAGTGCTGCTGCTGTAGATTCTTGCTTAATGATTTAATGAGAAAAAAGTCTTAAGCTGGTTGTTCCTGATTTCTTGTTCCCCATATTTCCAGGTTTCTTTGAGGCGAGATAGGCTGGATATTAAAGAAGAAGAATATTATAAATCGCTGTATAATGAAAGTCAACTACAATTTAATACGTATGTAGCTTACTCCTTTTTATTAACTATATCTTTCCATGAGAATCAGTGGCTTGCAAACAAATACCTTTCCATACAAATTATCAGTTCATACTATGCACTTCTTGCAACTTCCTTTCCTGCAATAACTTGCCATTGCTCCTATGTTTCATTTTATTGACTTTTACCACCATTATCTTGCTTCTCTGTTTTTAGGTTTTTATATTTACATACTTATATTGTTTTTATATCAGCAAAAATGAGAATTTTATTCAATTAAGAGAATTAATAGAGTTACAGCAGATAAAACACAGACATTTCAACAGAAAATTTTACAATAAAACCCAAAAAAGCTGTTGCCTTTGAGTTCCCTGTTTAGCTAGAGAATCAGCCATTCCATTTGCAGTTCTCCTAACCCATGTAAATGAGGCATTAAGTTCCATTGTTATGGTTACTATCTCCCTTAACTGATGTCTGTAGTACCAAGGAACATACTGCTTGAATTGGTCCAAGATATCACTGTTTTTGAGTGCCCTTCTATCTCCAAGTTCTTAAAATTTGCTTGCTTGGCAATCTTTAGTCCTTGATGTAGAGCTAACAGTTCATCTTATTAAAAGTCACCTTCCCCTAAAGGTCCTGATTACATAGCCAACACTTTGTTTGAGGAGTCTCTGATCACACCACCAATGCCTGCCATACCCGGATTTCCTATAGAGCTCCCATCAAAGTTCAGCTTTAACTTATTGGGGCCTGGCGGCTTCCACTCCATCACTTTTCTTTCCTTCATCTCTGCAGTGTGTGACACTTCATTCTACACTCTTACAAAATATCTCAATTATGATATACATATATTGTTATATTTCATAATCTCTGTTTATAGAACTTTTATGATTCAATTTATGCACTTCTTTATATTTAAGTTTGCATCCAAACATTTAATGAATAATACTTATTTAATGATATTTATAAAAATAATACTCATCTCTCCTGTTTATTCACTCAATGATGTTTTTGAGAGCTGAGATTTTCTACTTAGCATGTGTAGGAGAATTCATACTTTAGCTTTGGTGTTATTTGTTTTCCTTATTGCTAATTTTGGTATTACTAATAAAAGTGCACATACAATAGTAGTGCAACTTGTGTTGGCCTGGGCTGTGTTGTTAAGATTTGAAGGGTCCAATGCAGTGCAGCTTGTAGGTCAAGGCGCAAGGCACAAAAAGGCAAATAATAATAATAATAATAAATAAAATAAAATATAACCCAAAAAAAATAAAAAAATCATTGAAAATGCCATATTTGCTAATGCTGTTCATTTGTTCATCCTAATAAAAGATATTTTTAAAAGACACTTAAAGTTATAAAACCTTTTTTATAGGGATTAAGAACTTAAGACCCTAATATGGACTTGTTTGGGCTTGCCTTGAGGGGCTTGGTTGGGGGTCTGCTGAAGTGCAAGGCACACCAGCTGCACGCCTTTTGAAAATACTCCACCTAGGACCTAGGCGAGGTGCATACCCTAAAATGCACCTCGCCTGTGCACCTAGGCATGCCTATTAAGTCACTGCTTGCAACTAAAAGATAAAAGGAAATAGAAGAGAGGTTGAACACAATAGTAACAAGAACTTCTTCATAATGACGAAGTACAGAGTTAGGAATTGCAAAAGGATACATAAACATGGTATCAGAGCAGGCTGAAGGTTCCTTGAGTTGTTTTCTCATGCAGCCCTAGATTGGCCGACTTCATGGTGATTTAAGAGGCTGATCGAAGATCTCAGGTAAGCCCAATTTTTGGATTTTTTGGTGGATCTGTTTGCCCTATAGTTGGAGAAAGGGGAAGAGTTATGTTTTTGTTGGACTCTTCAATTTTGACCTAGGAAGTGGCACCCTAATCTTTTAGGGTTCCTTGGAGTTTTTTGTAAGGGGCGGTTCAAGTCCTGCCTGATTTGGAGGCTTCTAGAGAGAGCGACTGCCTCTTCTCTCTCTTCTCCTGTTTCGCAAAAAAGGAATCTTTTGTGGGAAGACAGTCTAGGACACCAGAAAGGTGTTGGTTCCAGAAGTGTTCCGTTTGATCTTCTTGCATATTTCAGTTATTTTCTTTACACTTTTTGAGAAGCATGGAGGGTTGCGGAGTTGAAAATAAGCCCAGGAGTGAAATGAGACCAGTGGGAGGAGGTGCTGGAGACCTTTTCGGGACTGGGACCATTCTACAGTTAGGTTGGATGGTGCAAATTACTTAGAATGATCACGATCTGCAAAGATGGCCATTGGTGCTCGTGGGAAATTAGGGTATATCATTGGTGAAGAAGTGAAACCCGAAACTAGAAACTCTCGGTGGGTACAAGAGAATTATATGGTGATGACTTGGTTGTGTAGTTCTATGTTGCCCCATATAAGTAAAATTTTTTTATGGGTAAATACAACTAAGGAAATATGGGATGGGGTTGCAGAAACCTATTCACAGAGGGGGAATGTTGCTAGGGCTTATCAGTTGAGAAATCAGATTATTTTTACAAGGCAGGGAGATAGACCTGTTGCAGCCTATTTTTCAGCCCTTAAAACCCTGTGGCAGGAGATTGACCATTTAGAGACATTTGCTTGGGAAACCACTAAGGATGCAGCTACCTATCAGAAACATCTAGAGAAGTATAGGGTGTTTGAATTTCTTGCTGGCCTTAATTCTGAGTATGATATTGCAAGACAACATCTTCTTTCTAGGGACAGTGTTACCCTCTTCTAGGCACATGCCTTTGTGTTAAGGGAGGAGAGCAAGAGAGATGCGATGATGAAAAATCTTGTTTTTGATCAGTCTGCCATGGTGAGTACTGTGAAACCTAAACAAAGTGGAGATCGGGGTGGCAGTGAAATCAAGAAGGAAGATAAAAGAGATTTGATCTGCGACTACCGTAAGAAGCCTAAACACACAAGAGATACTTGTTGGAAGCTTCACCCACATCTTGTGCCGACTAGACTGAAAAATAAGAAGGTAAATGCTCACATGGCAGTTACTGGTGATATTCCGACCCCTCCTACTACAACTGCTTTGGAGTCTGTTGCAGCTGTTGCAGTAAGGGCCGAACTTCAGAGGTATGGGCAACTTCTGAACCAGTAAGAAACAACCAGTTCCAGTTCAACAGAAAGCGGACAACATGGTACAGGTGGTACTGGTGGAGTCCATTGTACTTCCTTTGCTCACACAGGTAGTTCACATGTCACTGCAAATTATGTTTTTACTTCAGGTAAGGTGGGACCTCCTTGGATTATAGATTCTGGAGCCTCAGAGCACATGACCCATAGGTCTACTATTTTTTCCTCTTACTAGCTCTGTTCTGGCAGAGATAGGGTCTCCACAACTGATGGATCCCATGTTCCCATTGCTAGGAAGGGATCTGTTAAGATTAGTGATTCTATTTCTCTTCCCTTTGTCCTTCATGTTCTCAGATTGAACACTAATTTTTTATCTGTTAGTAGTTTGATTAAGAAACTGAACTGCTCAGTAATTTTTTCTCCTGGTCATTGTATTTTGCAGGATCTGGATTCAAAGAGGACGATTGGGAGTGGTCGTGAAGTGAATGAGATCTACCTCCTGGATGTGCTTCCTCATCATCAGAGTCATCGTGTCAGCAGGGATAGTGAGCTAGGGTTTGTGGGTCAAATTATGCTTTGGCATAATCGTTTGGGCCATTTACCTTTTTTTTCTTTGAGTTTTTTGTTTCCAAAACTTTTTGAGTCTGTTAGTTTGTCAAGTCTGGAGTGTGAAGGTTGTCAACTTGGAAAGCATTGTAGACATTCATTTAAACCTAGTAATAAAAGGTGTTCTTCTTCTTTTGATGTTATT